TCGTAGATAAAAAAATATTTTACGTTATTTATCGATATTACTTGTCACATCGAGAAAATCATAACAACATAATTATATATAAAAGAAACTAAATTGTTCAATGAAAAGGTAACGATTTTTAGCGAATTTAGAATTTGACTTAGACTTGATTTATATTACGTTTTAAAATATTGAGAGACTCATATAAAAATAATCATCAATTAATTTGTACATCTATTGATAATGTTCCGTTAACGATTAATTCATGAATGAAAGCGCATCTTCGTTGATCTAAATTTACGTAATTGAAACTCACTGATCTCACGTCAATATTTAACAAATAGAGTACGTCGTTCTACGGAAACTTGCAGCGTAACTAGACTGAATTTGCTGCGTAATGCAACGCTGATATACTAAATATCTCATCCATTTTGAATCTAAAAATAACTTGAAGCAGCAAAGAGCAAGTGGATCAAATTTACTGCTAATTGTAGTATTTAGAATTCAATTAATGATTACAACAATGTCACTTGATATCGTGTATCTATAAGCATCATTAAACATTGTTATACTATTCATTCGTATAATGTATCTGAAGCATATATTTTGTGGAATATGAAACATAAATTGTATGTTTAATCAAAATAAAAATGCCAAAGCACTACAATTTGTCAAAAATCAAAAATTTGTCTTTTTATTCACATAAAATAAACTTTTAATAAAAAAATATTTAAACGTGCAAACTAAAATAAAGAAAAAGAAATTTTTTTCATTAAGATTTTATAAGAAGACGCGAGAGATTTAATATTTTACTTGACTTGATGATAAGAAATAATAATTCATTTATAACCGGATTAGAATAAGTACAATTTTCGCACGTTTGCTGTTTCTATCTCCGAAAAAATTGTCATCGTATTTACCAATGTAAATATATAAAATATGTAAGCCGGTTCAAATTCAATTCGCATCGTGAAGCGTTCTTGTTCGGCGTTTTCGTTTCGTGACACGAAATTGAATACCTAGCAACGATCGTTAAATCACGGCTGCCGTTTGATTTCTTTCGAAGTACTGTGAAATATTTGCAGTTCGGGAACATTCGCGTAGAAGACCTTCCCTGAAGAAGTTCTTCACGAAGCGAACATATCCCGAATATACGCGTTGTCACCCCCTACTCAGAAATATCTTTTCTACCCTATGTCGAATTCGTTTCTGCGTGGAAGATCGCTCCGTTACCGTGTTTGTGAAGAGGGTGGCTTAACCGACGAATGTTTTTCGGACATTGGGAATACATTGAGGGAGGCGGACTGGGGGAAGGGGGGTGGCGAAGAGTTCTCCTTTATGGCGATCAATCATCGCAGATGATATCCACTTTTCCTTCTACCACCATGCCTCGTGAACTGTACGCAATAAGACACATAAACCAGGCTGGAAGATCAGGAACGGGATGGGCGAGGAGGATGGAAAAGTAGCCGCGGGGGTGATCCCGAAAAGTTATTCAAATGCGTTAAGTAGCGGATGTCAAGGAAAATTGGAAATGATTCTGGAAACATCGAGCACGTTCCTGGAGAAAAGCGAGGAGATTTGAGAAAAGAGATGGTAGGAGAGAAAAGGCTTTTTGAGGAATAGGCTAACGTCCGAAAAACATTATGCATTATTTATGAGTTCTCTTCCCACCCACGTATTTCTAGGAATCAATGTACATAAGTTCTAATTCCACGAGACAAAAGAACAATCGCGTTTCGCGTGTCCTTTTTCGTTGCCCATTCTACGCAAATCTGGAATGTTATCGTTGAGCGACACTATCTCCCGCGTTAATTAATCTCGATCACGATGGGGCACTCATCGCAGTTTGTCCGACATTAACGACGTGACGCGTTATTACTGTTTTACATGCTTGGTTCAGAGGAGCTGCATGCGAGGGTTAAAATTACATGAGATGGAAGGGTGCGTAGTTGCGATCGCAATCGCCTTTCGCGGAAACATGTGGAACAAAACGTGCGTACCAGGCGAGAAATAACGAAGGTAAGCAAGCGTAACACATGAAAGTGATAAAGTATGTAACGCCCTAATAGTAGATGTGAAAAATAAGAAAACATTTAATAGAGTATTATAATTATATAAGTATTATGTATATAACAACTTATAATAGGATAGCCGCGATAAATTGCGCAATAAAGAAATCCGTTAAAAAAGCTATGTATAAAAAACTTTAAAACAAGAGAAAAAAAATATTATTTATTAATTTATTAATTATTTATTAATTTTTCAGTGAAAAGTAAATTAAAATGTAATTATTGATAAAACTGTAATTTCTAAGAATTTTATAAGATAAATAATAATATTTTATTATAAACTTGAAAAAAGTAAAAAATAGAAAATAGGATAAATATTTGTGAAGCTATCGATGAAAACGTCATAGCTTTTTATATGGTTTTATGCTGATTTTCATTTTAACCTTTCGATTCGGCTGTGCAGCGAGATTTCAGTATCATTAAATGCATATTTGTTACATCCAATATATTTGTACCGCTGCCGCGTTTCAAATTTTATATAACAAAATCAAATAACAAATTTTACGAAGTAATAACAGATAAATACAGAAAACAATTTGATATTGTTGAAAAGAAGATTTGTGGAAACAAATCGGAACGTATGTAGATAAGTTTGATAATTCATAAGAGCAAATAAGAGCTAATAATTCAATGTTTCTTATTTTTATTCATCGATAGTCTCTTATGATATCAAATTGCGATGGAAAGTAGATGCATCTTCTTTGAATCTATTATAAGTGCATTTTGTGATTTTCATTTTGCAAATACCTCATGAAAAAAACTCGACTTCGATATATCCATACACTCGCGAGCTATCATCCACTCCGCATGTCAGCAGATCGATGTCGAAAGATGGACGTGCTCATTTTCATGGGTACCCTATTAATCGCTGCAGTCATCATGTGTATGCCAATAGCTGATTACGTGTATGTTGCGTGTACGTGTTGCGCGAGTTTGCAAGTGTGTGTATTTACGTATGTCAAAGTGGACCGCGATGCGGTCCCTCACGTATCATTGTCAATTGATACGTACTTGTTACCCTTGCCAGATATCAACAATGACATTTTACCCTGTTCCATCTACACACATTTTATATCGCGATCGATTTCACGATCCGTTGACCGAGCCAAACAGCTTTGAACAGCTCGAACTCAATTTTGGTGACATCGTCGATTTTCGAAATACCGATGTGTGTATTCACAAAACATATAATATTGGTTTTACTGTATGCTCTCCCTATGCAGCTTTGGCTAATAAACGCTTTAAAAGTAAAAGTATTCTGTGATAACTTTTATCGGCTATTTCAATATTTAGTGGTATTTACTGATAAATTCGGACATTGATTGGATATTTGCTTTTATTGAGATTGCTATTGGGGTGTATTCGTTATTGAAAGGAATGATTGATTTCACATATAGTGGCTTACCAAAATATTCAAACGATAATACGTCTATATTAAATCGAATAAAATCGTTCGGATACTTTTACAAAGCATTTTGCACTCGATGTAATCTATGCATATTTTTTTCCTCTACTTACATTCTTTCATTTATATGCTCTCTCTCTCTCTCTCTCTATATATATATATATATATATATATATATATATATAAAGATATTATAGATATTTTTGAGATTTTTGAATTGTTTAAAAATTATTAACTTCAGCAAGGAGGAATCGATAGTGCACCGACTATAACAGCTCAATAAATTCCGAATCCATGGGTAGCACAACACTCTTTTTCGCAAACACTCAGTGATTTATTGTCTACCGCAGAACGAGAAACAGAATAGATTATTTATATCCTATGAAAGCCATTGTTTCTTGAAAAAAATATCATTTTAAAATACAGTAGAAAAATAATGTGTAATAAAAGCAGTCATCATAAAATCTATTGAAAGTCTGCTAATTTAATGTCTAAATTAAGACTTAATACAGAACAGAACAAAATGTTATTTGGTACGTATATAAAGCCACATTTCTTAATGTCCTTAAATTCTAAAAAAACTTGGGAGTAATTTAACTATTTATTTGTACGATTCTCATTGCTGATTATTGCCCAATATATTCTCGGGCAAAAAAAATAAAATAAAATACAAGTAATCAACATCGATAAATATCGAATAAGCACTCCAATAATGTATATGCATTATGTATATTTTTTCATAGAGAAGCGAGTCAATATTGCAACGGAACAAGCCGAGTTGATACCGTTAAAATATTAATAATTTACTCGGAATAACCAGACAAAGTTTCTCACCGCAGCATTTCTCCCGTTTCCTCTTCGCCTAATCGTAGTTTTCTCGCGTGTTGTCGAGACCGATGAGAAACTTTACAAAATTGGAGCTTCTCTTGCTTTAAGGAGAAATTATCCGCATCATTATAAAGAAGCTCTTATCTGTTTCCGTTGTTCTTTGTGTAAATAGCAACGCGTATTCGGCGGAACCTGCTTGCGTTCCGGGGTATCGTTCAGTTTGAGAACTCGCAGTCCCGGAACGGAGAGTTGTCGTTTCTCTTGCGAAAGTTGTGCACAATCTCTGCAATGAAGAATTCCCGAGAATCGCCGAGTGCGCATGTTACGCGTGTCTCTTCCCTCTTGTCGTGCTCTCAAATCGCCCGAAATCACCCTCGTGAAACGTAGGCTTGTTTCTCGTAATTATCGCGTCGAAACACGATCTCTCGCCGCAATGCAATGGGATCGAATGGACCAAGCGACAGCACAGTCAGTTAGCGTATATAGCGATGGGTTAGAGTGCGCGCATAGTTCGTTATCGATACCGTTAATCGGTGAGTTAGTTCACAGAGGCATGGCGTTGTAGAGATCCAGATTGGGATGGTAAAAGAGCGGTGTTGGAGTGGGCGGGTTATGGTGGGGCGCGGGCTGCGCCTGTATGAGGTTCAAGTTCAAGTTCAGGGGCGCGATGTGGGCCGCATTGTGGTGGTTAAGGTGGTTAAGGCTAAGATGGTTACCTGTCGGGTAGGGTAATCCGAAACTAGGGTACCCAGAATAGCCGCGGCCCGCCGCGTATGCCGCGTACGCTGCCGCTGGGAAACCTGTAAACACAACGAAAATTTCCATTATACTTCTCATTATACTTCTCACTCATGTACAACTCGTTAATTAAATCCTCTTGCCAACAGGAAATAGCGTAATCGTTCGCATCAATGATTTTAAAGAATAGCTAAGCTTCTTTGCACATTTTATTATATATTATTAAATATTGTTTGTCATAATGAAATGTTTTTTTATTTTTTAGAGACATGCAATTTTGCCGTTAATATCGTTTTATACATAGACACAGCTTCAGATTTCTTTTGATCTCTTTCATGTACTTCATGTACGTCATGTTCTCATAATTTAAATTACTCAATACATTATTTGTTGAATTTATATCTTGAAAAATTCAAATAAACATCAAAAAGTTTAAAATATTTATGTAAAGAAATATTTTAAAAAATCACATCTCCATTATCGCATTTGATTAAATTCTGTAATAAAAAGTTTAAAAAATTCCACATACACATGTTATATTATTTTTATAGAAAAACCAGTTATTAAAGAATTAAAACTAATGAACAAAATTAATATTTCTCTAATCATTTTATTGAATTGATGATAGTAATTTATCGGAACAAAGATGAAATTTATTTATTCTGTTAATTATTAGGTTAAACCTATTAAGTTATATCGGATATAGTCATATCTATTCTGCTAATTAGGTTAAATTTCCATTAATACAAAAGCTAATGAGAGGTTAGTAACTAATCCGGCAAATTCTAATATTTACATACGATCGTATCAGTCAACTGGAAGATATGCTATAGATAGAATGTATGTATGTTAAAACAAATAGGTGAAATAGGCAATTATGTATCAAGGCTGTCTATATGGTATCATTATTATTTTAGTTATGTCTATAATAGTGATCGTCAGTAGATATCGAATTCTTTACTATGTACAAGTTCGTACATATTTTACGTACTCACCGTCAGGTAATGCTCCCAGAGACCACATAAAATCTATAAGAAAAAACAAGTTCGATTAAAATATAATTTCAAGATAGACCAACGTATCGTGAATACTTTTTTTACTCATTTTTATCAACACTTTTTTTATTTCGATTCTTTTCCCTTTATTTATTGCGTGTTCGTTAGTGCAACGATTTCAAGTCCATCAAAATTTCTGCAACTACGTATGAAGAAAGATATTGATCGCTCGAAAACTTTCAAAACAAACTACGTGTCAAAAATAAAGTGTTAATTATCTCCTACGTGTTAATTATCTTCGCGAAATTTTATATGTTGCAGGACCAATATTTTTCTTCGAGCAGGCGAAGGTGTAGGCCTAAACATTTAAGAATATGTACACGGAGATAAGTTAAGTATGAAGCGAAGCGTTGCAGAAATTCGTCGGGATCAACGACTTAAGTGTAACGGATGACTAGGTCCAAACGATAAAAGAGAACGTAAAATGAGAAAAAAGAAGATAAAAAACAGGATTAGAAGCTTTCTAGGTTAATTAGAGAGTGAGAAAACGAGTGTAAAAGAGAGAAAGAGAGAAAAAGGAAAGAGAGAAAAAGAGAAAGAGTGAGAGAAATAGAATGATAGAGAGATCAAGGCATCCATGAAATTTCATAATTCGATACTAATTCAAAAGACCACACAACTAAGATTCTCACTATGTATATGTATATATCGCATCGACTATATAGCGCATTTTCTAAACTGTGTGACAAGGTACTAAATAACTACGCGCGGCCGAGGTATTTCCAATCTACGACAAAATAAACCCTCCTATGAACTATAGTTATTGTAGCCTTCAAAGGTATTGGTTAATTATTTACCGTTAAGTAATATCTGCTAGGCTGTCTATATAGCTTATTAGATATCGACTAAGGATCGGTAATATGCCACCACCCGATTGTCTTTCGCAAACTTTGACAGATTTGCAGGACAATTGAACAATTGGATATACACGTATATTGATTACCGCGCTGCATTTTTTTATTTTTCTATATCCTTTTTCTATATCGCGTGCGTGGCATAACACCGACACCACTACCACATTTATATTGACGATACAATATTGAAAAAAACACCGACCACAATAATACTACACTACTAGACTCACTATGCTAGTGTCCATATCGACGTTGCTCTCACAATATTACGCAGATGGAAAAAAGTATAAGAGCGTTTATTCTAGCCATTAAAATACACTGATACATATTATTAATAGTATTAGTAATTTCGTACCTAAAATCTCTCTACCGGGCTGGTTTTGATTACGTCAAGCGCTCAATGGTACTTTACTATCATTTTGCACTCTTTTTCTCTGTCTTAATGGCTTTCTAAACTCTTCCGAGCTACAATAAGATTTGCATATACGTCGAGCACTATTTCGCATTTATCTCAATATTAATTATCGTTTGTAACATTATATAAATATACCTTTGTCACTTCATCGAAACACGTGAATAGATCTCGACGATATTATGTAAATACTCTCGCGCGAAGTACGCGCGTGCTTTCTATATGGCATCTACGTTTACACCCTGTACTTTCTCAGATGCAACATATCGATCTCACGTAGAGCAGACATTTACGTACGACGTATTAACATTAACAGTCTCTCGTAGTTCCGAGGAGCGCATAAAGCCTGTCTCAGCTCGAGTTTACGATCTAGTTGCCGGTCGATTAACGTTTACGTCACATCAATGGCTTCGACAACGTGAAAATTCATTGAGCTACTACTCTCACTAGAATTTTATGTTTCCCCTTTGATGTGTGTGTTTCGTCTCTCGGGGGAGGAGAATATTCGCGAGATTCGTGTATCGGGGATGCATTCCGTCGAATCGTTCTGCGTAACAAATCATCTGATACTCTTTTGTATACTCCCGTGAAATTCAAAATCCGGCCCAGCCAAGTGTCACGAGGACCAACAATGAAACCGCACCTTCAAGGTCTGGTCTACTTACGAAACTGACAGTGTTGCGCCTCTCGGGCTAAATACGTAGTTTCTAGGATACACGTCTCACGCATTATTATCAAGGTAAACGGTGCTATGTGGCTTAAGAAAAGTTAAGTACTATGTAACAAGTAGTATATGAGTGGGATATACGGGAGCTGAGGCATTAGGTATAGACAGGTATACGCATATATATTTAGTATGTATCCTATATAGAGAGGTATAATATTACGTGTAACGTAATGTAAATGTAACTATGTAACATAGCTCGTTAAGTAATAGGTACAATATAATAGGTCTCTTTGAAGCCGCTGGTAATGCGTATTCTTCGCGGAAGATGCCGAGTGACCACGCTTTGTCTCACTTTCCCCCGCGAATAATCCTGTAAAAGCGTATGTGAGTGGGAATGTGAACGGCAAAGGCCAAATTTTACCTTCCCTGTGAACAATTCTTCGTCGACGGTCAAAAAGCGAGTGCACGATCTTCCGCGAAGACGAGCGCCTAAAATATAATCTAAGCTAACGATATCATAGTGACTTCCCAAAAGCTATAGTCCACTAGTAGTCTCAACGGTAGGAACGTGTACATAGTATATTAATTCGCCCAAAACTGATTCGCTCTAACTAATCGAACCTAGAGCGCCTAGAGTCTCAATAATATCTAAGGTCTGATAACAACACAAATGTTTACCTAGTTACCTAGATATGTAAAGATAAATAGATATACAGACTTCGATATGTATATATCTGTTTAGTCTATTACAAAAAACTATAAGGTGTAATGCGGCTCTCACAAAATATATCGATATTAATATCAAATACTATGGCGTTACCAAATAGGTAAGATACAAAACAATGTAACGTATATATCGTCTGGCGTAATCTATAATGGATCGTTAGGTACGTATCAGTATAGAGTGTCCGAAAACTGTTGATACGTATTTTTAGATATCGGATATTTAGATAGATGTATTTTGGATAACTGTTTGATTGTGAGAACTACCGTCCAGAACCGTTGTATTTCGAATTTCAATGTAAAATAATAATTAAGTCACGATAATTTTCCGTTCCCCGTTTAGAATACCCGTTTGAAAGTCAAATTTTATCATCTCTGAAATTTGTTTTATCACACAATTATTCAACGTTGATATTTTTGATTTAATTACTAATGTCAATGACATATTATATCGCCAGTTTTGAGACACTCCATACAAGTATAGAATATAAATATATTATTCATATATACGTATATATATATATATATATATGTATATAGATTCACGTATGCATGTATATACATATAGATAGTGTCGAGCTCGTGTCTTTTCTTTTGACTATTTTTATATCGTCTAAAACACTGAGTTCTTTCTTGCTTCGACATTATGAAATTTCATGAAGTCACTTGCGAAAAATATTCCGGAAGACGCGACAAATGAGAAGTGCACGTCGACCATTTCCTGCGGGCTCTCGTCGCGCTAACCGCCGTCTCGCCGCATTGCCGACAATTTGCGTCGGCATGCGCCGCTAATTGATTTCTTTCAATTATCGCTCGCGTGCTGGCGAGCGGTACACACGGAGAACTGCTGTTACCTGGGGGGAGAGGTTGTTTTCTCTCTTTTATTTTATTTCAGTTTTCTGATAAAATATTCGTAATTAATGGCCTCGAAAAGCGCGCTCGCTATTTGAACGCGAACGATCGTTTCCCGAAAAATATCCTGCCGTTTTTTTTGAAGACGTTCGAAAATACGCCACGAAACGCGACCCATTTTTCCATATTCTCCATCGCGACTCATAATTATATCACCCGGTCTTGTCGCGTAACCTCGCAGACCATTTCTACGTTAGAGCTTTGTTCGCATCACTAAAATTTCAACTAGGTTCTACTAATGAATTGACAGCCGCCAAACGAACATACGATCTTCATCGAGGAGTTGTCGTTTCGTTTCCCCATCAGGGTGACCTGAAAATCACCGCTCACCTGTCTTTCGATTTCCTGTTCTCTTATATCTTCTTTGTTGAAGGCATCAAGCCTCAAGTTGCTATTAATTTCTACAGCGTTTTAATTGAAGTGCTTTTAACGGTAAGTATGATAAACATCGAAAACTTAATTATTCGACGTCGGTATATGATTGAGATTTAATTAGATTTAACTTGTACACTTACTATCTGTTCGATCTACCTACCTCTTTATTGATGTATATAAAGAATATTTTTTATATAGTTATATTTATTTTCAGAATACACTTTAATAATTTATTAAACTAACAATATAGAAAATTTAAATTAATTATTAATAAATTAATAATTTTTAATTTTTAATATGTTTTGGATTTTTTTCAATTTTTCTCATTTTTCAATTTTTTCAAAGAAATGTAATCATACAACTCGTACAAAAATATATTTTAGAAAACATTATTCTCATTTCTCTTAAAGAGATGACACGATCTCCATATAAATTTTACTTTTACATTTAGCCATGTTTTATTAAGAAGCAAAAGATATTTTAAGAATTTTACTTTACATTTTATCGAATTGTAAATTGATAAATCGAAAGACACCCCTCTAAGAAGATACGTTCGATGCGACGGCGATTTACTGTTTGAGCAATATTGGATCATTTCGGTCCGTTTTTCTCTACATTTGAACACTTTGTTTATTGTCTTACTACCAGCGTTACTAATCATCTACAAAATAACTACCAGTCTTTTGTGATACGTTTGTTTCATTGCTACAATCTAGTTTTTCCACTACGAGAAAATGAGGCCCCATAGATTATTACTACATCGAATAAATCTGCAATTTCGCTACGCGTTTTCTCTTTTGTTTCTACGATCACAGTTTTGCCGAACATTGCCAACCGCGAACAGCTCCGCGGAAATATCGCGTTCTCGATATGTATTTCGAACCGGTAAGTAAGTCGATCTTCCTAAATCTACGATATTGCACTTTTTGAAATTGATATCTATCACGCCCGGTTGTTTCATTACTGATCGACATATATTAATACTTTCGATTTCTTTTGTTAACTATTCACTTCAAAATGAAGGCTAAAACAGTCTCAGTTAAGGAATGTGCAAAGTCCTGTTTAATCTAATATTTCGTTATATTGTAATATTTTATTAGAAAATAATTTATATATGAGAGACTAGCTTTCTTTCTCACTAGAATCTTATAATTAATAATAAGTAAATAAAAATAAAAAATAAGTAAATAAAAATCATAAAGAATATGTTTTTGACCAATAATATCTTAGATAGATTCAATAAAATACAGATTTCATTTGTATAAGTATATTCAATCTTCGAATTGAGCTTCGAATTTTATAATGTATATGTAATTTAAATCGATTTATTTGAAATAACAAGTTTTGGCACGTATCAAAATGTGATTTTTAAACAAATAGAAAGTATTATGTTTGCGTTTTACAATCATATTATTATCGTCCTGTTTATGTATAAATCGCAAAACTCATAATATATTATAAGACCGATAAAAATCCTAATCAAGGTAAGCAATATAGAAAAAAATGATCAATTGAAATTCGACAAAACAACATTTGGACATAAATGTGACACCCCCGAACGAGCAATTATTGCGGTCGCGAAAGGGGTGTGAGTATCGTTGGTCATAGGCCGATCGTAGGTATCGGGTGATAAACGGCGCCCATGTCGAGGCCTTGAACACCGAGCAGATCGCTCATAGAGTAAGTGAGCGCGGCGGCACGCGACGCGGCCGCGACCGGATGTGGCCGGTAAGACGCCGCGGCTGCGGCCGCGGCTGCTGCCGCTATGGCGCGTTTCACGTCGTAAACCGCCGCCGCGGTGGTGGCAGCCGCGGCAGCCGTCGGCGCGGCAGCACCGGCCGCGTACTGGTAAGTAGCGGCCGCGCTCGGAGCGGCGGTAGCGACTATTGGAGCCAGCAAGTGATGGTGAGGAGGCCCGGCGGTGGCTGCCGCGGCTGCATGTGCAGCGGCAGCTGCCGCCGTCGGCAGGGGATACGGCGCGTAACGATAGGTGGTGGGGGTGGGTGTTGCGACCATCACCAACTCACCGTATGCGCCTCTGCTGGCCGCTCGCGTCTTCGCCAAATTCGCTGGGAGCATCACTTCCTTTGGCTGTGCCTTCTTGCACTCGACCTTGAAATTTTAGATAGAGCAGGTAAAGAGACAGGATACAGTCGCATATGAAAAACGACCGTCTTGAGTCAAGAGTTGATTGAGAGAAAACTGATGACTAGACTAAGTGGGATATTTCATTAATTGAAATTTTTTAAGTATAAGGTTATACGTCATTCGTAGTTCAATTGTTAAATATGTAGATTTGAAGTTAAAAGAGAAATTAGAAATTAATTGTTAACATCATTTGTTACATATTTTTTTCATTAATTATCAGAGTTGATTGTCAACTTGCGCTGAAAATATTAACATTCTTTTTACTAAAAATTTTGTAAAGAATAAATAATTAACTATAGAGGGTGAAAATTGGAGAGATATTAAATCAGATGCGTGCGGCTTACTTTAGAATTATTGATACGAGGTGACATCAAGAAAATACTTGACCAATATAAAAGAGCTTTTCATCGTAGCAGAAAGCAAACAGATCTCTCTTACTGGAGAAATCGTGGCTAGCTCTTCCATCTTTCGCCTACGATTTCTCCTGCATGTACATTCCACATGCGTGTCAAATACAAATAACAGAGACAAACCTTCTCGATTATACGGGAAATTAATTCTGCTCGACATTATACCTGCAGGCAGGGAGCAGAAGGCAAATACCTTTTGATGCGACCTCTGCGGTTATATAAAGTAAAGGGAGAACATCCTTTTCGGGGGCAAAGACTTCATTCTATGAGTAGATTTTCCTGGTTGGTGACTCACCATTTTGTTGTTGATTTCGTGGAAATGGATCTCGCAGACTTTGTCGACGACATCCTCGCTTTGAAACGTAACGAATCCAAAGCCTAAAAGAAAATACATAAATGCTCATTACATTTTGAATGAATTTTTATATTCTATGTTAAAAATTAAGAGTAGAATTAATGACTTTCTTATAAAAGTATATTATTTTCCTTTCAAATTTAATTTTATAATTTCTTATATTTTCCAATATAATTCTAATGAAATAACTCACAGCAATGCATCACTTATTCGTGTTTTAAGCATTATACGTATCATATTACACGTATAATAAAATGAGGAAAGCTAAATTATTATCATATAAGCATAATGATATTTGGCGTTCGATCAAATTAATTCATATATTAATGTATGCATAATCTTGAATTAGAGTACCAGTAGTGGCAGAAATGCGAAAGCGCTCCGATTTTGCTGCATATTCGCGGGGATAAGAAACCATGCCGGATTTCCATTAATTTAGCTGACGGAGTAAACGAGTCTCGCTTCTTCCCTCATACCGCACGCCCTCGAAAACGCGGTCTGTAAGCGAAATCTCTGCGAAATTTATTTCAGCCGAAGACGAACAGCGGGGAAAGAGAGACAGCGAACCGGAGAAGAGAGCCGTAACTTAATCAAGCATCAAGGGTTATTAAAAACTTTGCATTGCTCTCCGGGCGATTTTAATCTCGCCCTTTCCATGCGCCAGCGCTTCTCTCCTTTAGCTAGTAATTCAGCCTCGAGATATCCGGCAAGTGCGAGTTATACGAATGTAGCGCGCGATGTTGCTTAAGATAACCAGGATTTAGTACTTCCGTACCGAAACAGTTGCCGAAGCTGCGTTAGGTGACCCATAATTAAATGCATCCGGTGGTCATCCGGGAGGAATGTAAGCTGGCAATCCGCGATTTTAGTGCAGGAAAGTTAGAGCAAAGTACGGTACATCAAAGATTGCAGAGATTATTAATTTTCATGTAACTATCTTCCCTAATATTTTCGAAATTAATATCCCAATAGATAAAAAATTTAAATAAATGTTTAATAAAATGTTCAAATATTGTAATTTATATCCGATAAATAGTAAAAATAAATGTGAAAGAAAAAATAGCAAATTTAGGATAGAGGAAAATCTTTTCATAACAAAATGACTAAATATTTTTGAGAAATTTTTAAGAAAATGCTCGCATTTATCTAGAAATTAAGATAGAATATATAATCAATATATAATCGGACGATAGTCGAGCCTAAATGACGTAATTTACGATAGATATCGTGCGCTTAATTGCTGGATAAAACGGCCAGGTCGTTATTTCGGAAAGAAAACTTGCCAACGTTGGGACAATATGTGCGCGACATATTCAATTATTCAATGACACCATTAATCGTTCGGCTTGTCTTCCGGATTCTTTCTCTCTTACATCTTCTACGCTATCTGTCTCCGGCATACCCACTCCCATCTCGACCGTTTCGTTCCGTCTCTCGCATCCTCTCATCCACCTAAGCTTCTCCTCTTGCTACGAGTATAGCACGAGTGATTAAGTTATAAACTTGGCAAGACGTCCGTTTGAGCGCGGAAGGGGCTTACTTCATTTATGTAATTTATAGTACTCTGCCAGTCTAGCTAACTCCACGGAACCCAAGCACTCCCCTAACACAAAGGCCATGTCCTGACACCGGTAACATTTAACTACCCTACCTCGGCCCCCTACTCTCATTACTTTGATGATTCTCTCCCCGCGAGCATAGTGCGGCACCGTTGACATTCCTCGATAGTGTTTGTCTTCTCAAATGCGTTGCGCGGAGTATTACATAGTCTCCTTTTAAGAGAAAATAAGGGATTATGATTTATTCTGTAGAAAATGATATTATTTACGGTATTATATTCCAGTGAACAAGTTCTTAAAATATTTCTAATAAGATAAAGTCTTGTAATTCTTAATCGTGTTGAAGGTAGAATGCTTATCATCTTCAAGGCTCACTTTCTTTATGGCATCAAGAACGATAAGGGATGACCGGAACGGGAGCACGGTCAGCGATCCGCGGAAGATCCAATAAATTGTGAGTGGTGAGACGTCCCTTTCTGGAGCGAATTCGAATTTTCATAAGGAAATTTATTTGCCGTGGCTGGACGGTCATAGTCACCCTACCAAACTCCATTTTCGCGCGGTAGTCGACAAAATGCCATTCTCGTCGATCGGTCGGGGTTGAACAAGGTGAGAAAAAAATGTGTGCTCAGCTGACCGACCACTAGTCGCCAGATGTGCTCATTTTAATAAAAAAAAGCACTTCAAGATATCTTTCATCCTTGAGCTCTTTAAATGATCTATAAAATAACGGTCTCTCCTAGATAGAATTATCGCTGCGGCCTCTCTGTCACAAAATTACGGCCCTCTTTCATTCAAAGAGGATGCAAATCTGGATATCTATCTGGAATTTCATAAAAGCCGTAAAGTTATGACTGATAAAGTAAAAACTCGTGTATCTCTCATTATTACATTACTATGGAACAATATTAAATTATCGTTTTCACATCAATTGATAACACAGCTTATATTGATACATGTGATTCTGATAAAATAAATATTATTTAAATTTCACGATAAAAAATAAATATTATCATCTAAAAGTGCAGCGTTGCATCAAGAATTCATTATTTCCAATATAATAAAAAAAAACCAATTTATTTAACAGATTGAAATTATAATATTTTTAAGCGCAATATTTGAAAAAATTTATATTATAATACAAAAATTTACTTATCATATTACGCAATGTATAGGTATAATTAAATGAGATAAAAAACCTTCGTCACCATCAAACAAAACAAAATTTTCATCTTTATTGATGCAACTCTATTTCGTCTTAAATAAAGAAATCAAAGAAGCAGATGACGAAGAGGAAAAGGCGCTCTATTTTCTTCGCCATCTTCCTTCTTGGTAACATGGCACTCCTCTTCATCCTTTCACTGCCGCTCGTCGACCCCTTGTTTCTTCCTATACCGCTTGTTCTCCCTCTGATTCTCGAGTATAATGCGACCTCGCCATTGTGCCGAGCGAGCGCGTGTTAACGTTTAAAAGCCGCGCAGCGGCCGGCGAACGCGTTTCAGAATTTTATCGTGCATTGAGAATAAAGGTAAAAGGTTTCTTTCAAAAGGCACGCCGGCGGAACGATTTAAAACTTGTAAATGGATACGAGGAGTTAGACCTCTGCGCTCTTTTCGCCTTCCCTTCGTCGTACCCTTTCCACCTTCGTCCCCCGTCTGCACATAAAACTTTCGCAAACTTTTGTTTGTTTCCCGCGATGTATTTACGACGCGGAATCTGGCTGATCGATACTGAAAGAGCTAGCAGGGAACGCAGTCACTATTTTTAATGTCGTTGAACTTTGATAGCTCGTTTTACGAGGAACGTCGACGATAATGATAACGATTACTTCACTTGCACGGGTCGCTTCATGCTGAGATTTAAGATACAGCTATGTTAGTCTTACGATTAATTCTTTTAATCAGTGACCACATTTTTCTTAATAATAAACTAAATTATTAACAACATTACCGCTTTTTTGTTTTTAGTATTGTCAAATTGAAATAAACTAATCTAATCAAGCATTTATACAAATCAAACATTAACTATAAAAATAATATTTAATGTTTCTGAAATATATTATATTTCACAATAGAATTTAGTATATATATATATATATATCATCAAAATCATATGATGATTATTATTATATAATAGTATTTTTCTCAGATATGTTCAATAATTAATACTATTACGACCACTCTGTACTTTTAATGTCGTCGAACTTTGATGACTTATTTTATGAGCGACATCGACGGTATCGATAATAGCTCTTTTAACGTGGTTCTAACATTGTAAAAGACGTCGTTTCATGTTGAGATTCAGCAATAAAATTTTGTTATTAATTTTCTTTCATTTTATGTAATGCGCGCTGATTGCCACATGGTCAAATAAATTGATCTCGCAAAGGACATACTTAATATTTTATTAATCAATAAATGAATAATAGAATGCATAATCAATAAATAGCATAATATTTGCGGACTAACAGTTTATATAATTCTTAACATATAATATTAATAATAATTACATTTAATGTTCGTCATTAAATACAAATCAAATCCCTCATTTACTTATGTTCTATTCTGAAGCACTAATTCTAATTAGCCACACAGGCTTCCATCGAAGGCTATCGTTATTAAACATGTATCATTATACCCGATTATCGATTAGGCATTTCAATACACACAATACAATCACCGCTAGAACGTCGATAAATCAAGATGGCGGAATACAAGTGCTGGAATTAATTTCGAGCTTCTCATCTTGCTATGACCTTAATCACTCCTCTCTTTGAAGTGATAATAGCCCAAGTTCCGAAGTAATAAAGACGATTATAGGTGTTCCTTCGTATCATTTAATAATTCTGTCATGAAAGTTTCTCGAGTATAGGATTTACGCGCGTAATCAATCGTTCAAGCATCTTCACATCAGCAATATTGTAACACCATGTGCGTTATCTCCTTGATATCGATATCGATACTAAGTTCATAATAACAAAGACGGTTATCAATTGACGCCTTACTGTGTAATTAGGCGTGTATTACGTGGCGATCCGGCTGTCGATTGAAATAGCAATAAATCAAGCGAACCATCCAAGAACCAATTTGCGCCCCAGCATACCGTGAATCTAATCGCTTTCTATCGGACGACCATAATCTAAGTTTCCGAAACAGCGATCGGCGCGGCCAGATAAACGTCTCGATTCTCGAAGCACAATTTCTCGTGCGATTCGTCGCCCAAGTTGCGATTTCACATCGCGATTGCCACGAATCGCCTTATCGGTCGATTGGCTTTTCCTTTAGCGTGGAATATCAGCGTCTTTCCGGTTCCTTAGTACAAATCGATTGTAAATTCATTTCCTCCGGCACTCCCAAAATGCAAAACTACACTAGACTGAAATAATACATGATACATTATATTTATGTATTATATAAAAATAAATCATTTGAAGAACAATTATATCGTGATCTAAATATGATTATTATTATTATTATTATTATATCGAATATTTCAAGAAAAGAAAATTTGGCCGGGTAATAAATATAGTGTAAAAATATCACCATCAAACTGCACATGAGACATAAATTGAATATACCTTACTTCTCATACAACTTTGTGCGCGCTGCAAAGAGTGCGTAAATAACTCGTTTATTGTGTATAACCCGTTTGTCCTGCTTGCAACAATATAATAATCCCGTTATAATGCTCTCAATTCCTAATTCAGTTAATTCAGTTCAATACGGAGTTGGTAAAACGATAAAACGAGAGTAACAAACGATGCCTTTGACCGTCGCCGAGTACGACAGACTTTTAAGCCGTCTCCTGGAAGAAGGGGGGAAGTCAGTAGTAACGATTATTGCTGGTCGACCCAGACCTGTTCCGGACAGGAAGTTAGTGGTCAATAAAGGTCCGCGGCACGTTACTGCTAGTCGACTCGTACTGAGCTTTCGTAAAGGTCTCTACGGATGTTCCCACCTATAACCGATTAATATGTTATCGCGTACTGTACGCGCGGTGTTCTACAGACTTTCCTCTCATCGATCGTGATATCGATAACCGTTCCTAAAGTTTCTATGACAAGCTCTAAATATCCGTCATCCCTCCGCTTCTCACGCGACGTTTTAATTTCTAATGAGTATTGAACGAGGGACATAACTCCGAATGGCTGATCACCTTTTTAAAATTGCGCGATCGCAAATGTTGTTGCTGGCTATTACAAATTGCAAAAGGAAAAATTGTTTTTCCTTTCTTTTTAAAGTACAAAATCGAAAAAAATGAATAAAATAGATTGAAGAAACAAATAGATTTGAAGAAACCTCCACCCAATTGTTACTTTAATTTTTTACTTATAAGGTAAGAAACTTTTAACATTTTAAAATGTTTTCCCTACAAATATATTAATAATTAAAAATATTTTATCACAGTTTAAGTAATGTGTAACGAAAGATATGAAATTGAAATAACTCACTCTGCGCTTTTGTATTAATTGTACTCATTAGAAACTGCATGCAATTATATTATTAGAATCTGCTCGATATAAACATGTTTTTCTTACCAATCTAATTTGCGTGTTTCGTAATTATAAAAATCTTGACAACATTGTGATAATTGATAAGTAATTTAAAGAATGAAATATAGAACTTATTAAGTATAAATTCTCTTTCTCTTTCTCATCGCACGCGTAGACGTTAGTCTATATAATTTAAAATATCTCACCGCGTCACACGGAAACCCCTCGAGGTATCAATGTCTCCAAGTTTATTAACAATTCCGAGCTGCTTCTGAAATTTGCTAGAGTAAGTTTGCTCCCAACGGATGACGCTTTTTCGACGTTGCGCGGTTCTAAGTTATATATTTATATTTCGGAAATACATTCTCGACTGTGGGAAATCGCGTCTTATGCCACCGAGTCTTGAGAGTTAACGTGTTTGGAATATTGAGTGAGTTTATGTACTAGATTATGCACTTTGAAGACGATTTTGTCATTTGGTATAATCATTATCTACATTTCGGACTTTATCTCTCTTCTTCTCCTTCTTCCTTTCCCTTTTCCTTCCCTCCTTTCTTCCCTCTCTCTTTCTCCCTCTCTTCCTCTCTCTTTCTCTCTTCTTTTTCTTTCTTCTCTCTTTTCTTTGCTCTCTGTCTGTCTGTCTGTCTTTCTCACTCTCTGATGCGGTTTCAGTTGGTCTGAGTAACGGATATCAACTTGTTGATTTACCGTGCTAACCGCAAAGCTGCGGTTGTGAGGTGTCCGAACTCTCTTGGCAAGCCATCACTTTCTAATAGCCGTCCTAAAACTCATATATAGCTACACCGATCCGTTATTCCTTGGCATCGATCAACGCTACAGTCCTGCTGTGTTTAAGCCACCTGGGTATTCGTCGTTATTAATCCCTGAATTATTCACAGACAGGTATTATCACACGTTTCATATGACATCCCACGTTAGGGGAATATGAGCATGTACTAAAAGTAGATATTTTGAGGTGTTATATATACTCAGCATCCCGAAAGCGTACATATAAAACGCATACAACACTTCCTTTGTAAAAATTTTATGACAAATTTATAATACATGACAAATATATCATTTGAATATATCATTTTTTTACAAAAAAATATGAAATTACAATGTTGCGTCTACTGTAATCAAAAAATAAGTATATCTAAACATATTCAAAAGGAAAATAGATAATTCATAAAAGCATTAAAATAATCTTGAAGATATTACATAGTTTTCGAGTTCTTCATTGAATGACAAAATCTTCATAAATATACAACATGCACAAATTATAAAGTTCATTTATAATTTATATATCCGTTAAATGCAACAATGATACTGTTAAGAATCTGCCAGAGTCAATGCATTAATTCACGTGTATGATGACATGCAACTGGGCGTGGGTTACAAACCTACACGCCAAACAAAACACTCAAAATCCGTTTTTGTCTCGCGTTTGTGCGGCCGTCTCTCGTGAAGTTACGCCGCCATAAATTTTCGGAGATGTCACGAATGAGTGTCTATATAGATTGTCGTAACGGGAGTAAAAAGACATAGAAGAGAGATGCCTCGTCTGCATTTACTACATGCTGATGTAGTAATTCGACTATGTATTTCATTATATAGCATGAAGAATTTTTTCTACGTTGATCGCAGCTGACTATGACAATTCAATATTGGAGATTATTGGAAAATATAAATAAATATGTAAAAATAAATATGTAATTGATGAAATCTCGCAACTGAATTTTAAAAAGATATTTAAAAATAATCTCAAAAAAATGAAATAATTGATTTTAATTGTTTAATTGAATGCTTTGAACCAGAAAATAATACGCTTTCAACGCCGTTTCAAATTTTATTTTCATAAAAATTTTAATAAATACTTTTATACTGACTTTTAGTTTTCTAAGGTAAAAAGAAATTTTATGATATCATGGTACAATGATTATAGGAGGGAACACAAAGTACAGTAATATTTAATATGCGCATGTCAGTGGAATTCTGCTGAACAGAGCGATGGTGGAAACGCACGGCACATTAATTAATCACTGTTAATTAGATGTAAGTTTCTTAGATGTGAGTCAGCTGCTTTTTGCACGCCGCCGGCTGACAGGCTTCATCGGGGACGAACGGAACTGCAAACTGCACTTTACCGCATTTCGCATTTTGCTTAGCACGCAGCTGTGCTGGCGTCAGACGTCGGGTTCGTTCTATCCTCCCGCTATCTTCCCTTACTTTGTTACTCCTCTTCTCGGTCCTCCGGGAAGGGGATTAAGCGAACGTACCAAATTGAGGTGCTTAAGTCGTCAAGAAGCAGAAGCAAAGAGGGTGAGGGATTGAAAGTGTGCGAGAGAGCGAGAGAGAGAGAGAGAGAGGAGGGGAGGGGGAGGGAGACGAGGAACGAAA